CACATCATAGCCAATATCCTCAATCACTTGGACGAGAACCTGAGCTTCATCCTTCTCCGTGACGTCCACAGTCGCGCTGTTGTTGACGAGGTTGACAACGACCTTGGCAACATTGGGTCTTCGTTTCAGCTCATCTTCGATGGAGCGGACGCAAGACGTGCAGGTCATGCCTCCGATAGAGTAAGTGGCCCTCCAGGCGTGGCCAGCACTATCAACAGATGAGCTCGAACCGACGGCGGTGATACTCTCGAGAGTGGATAGCGTCGCGAGATCGGGCGTGCCTGACCGTTCAAGCCTTGCCCTTGCGCCGGCCAACAGCGGGGTTTGCGATCCTGAGCGTGGCGTGTGAGGCCGTGAATGGCGGCATTCTTCGCAGTTTGCCAGATGAGTCTGCTGCCTCTTGGTGAGAGACTGTTTGAACCGAGGGGCAGTGAGCAGCCTGCCGAGAGCGCCGGCACCCTTGCTCTCGGCAGAATCATCGGCAGCTTGATATGACCGGTCCGCCAAGTACTCAAGATCAAGGGTGTCGACGGCTGCGGATGTGGTGGTTACACTGCAGACCTCGAAGCCGGCGGCTTCGAGCGACTTGGCCATGGTGGCAATGACATGGGCGACGGCGGGGCCCGTGTCACGGTGCTCAACGGTAACAACCGATGTCACGACATTGGGCGAGATCCAGACAATGTCACGGCCGCATGCGTCGCCGAGAGCTTCTTGAATGGAGGAGACGCATGACGGGCAGTGCAAGTTCCCCAGAAGGAAAGAGGTGGTCACTCGTTTATCGTCGGTAGTCTGTCCTGCTACGGTGCCGTATTGGGCGGCCGAGTCGGCGTGCACACCGGCCCTTCTCGTTGGCGCATTCTTTCTGGGTAGCAATGGATCGGTGTCCATGATGTGCAGCTGATATGGGGCTTTCAGCGGAGTGTGTGCGGTCTTCGTGATGGCACACGAACCAGGCGTAGTCTGCTCAGTGAGCGAGGTTATCGCGAGAAGCTTGTTTCGATACTCTGTGCTGAGTTCGCCACCCCGAGAAAAAGTTGGTGGTCGGTGGGGCAGGCGAAAATCGAAAGAATTGGCAGGAAGAGCAGCACTGCCTCGCAAGTGACACTGCAGCGGGGACAAATGAAGCTTGGTTGTATGCTGTGCGAATGCTGGAGTGTGCGAGGGTAATGATCAGGTCAGAGTGTCGTCAAGAGGACGTGGGTTTTTCTTGTCAAAGCCTGGTTCTTGGTTCTTGGTACACGTCGTTGGTCAAAACTTCATTTTGGGGGGCGGCGACCCATGCCCACTTGTAACTGCCACCAATTTACTCTTGCCTTGCATTTGCCGCGCAAACGGCGCACGCGAAACACGCGCAGAAACGGCACTGACGCCGGCTTTCCAATCTGGCAATGAGGTCAACGTAATCCGGCCATGACAGCGCCTGGAGACTGCAGGGTCCTCGAGGCGGGTCTCGCAGGACCTAGAAGGCTTGAGACGGAGATTGGTGAGCAAGTTTTGCTTGAGGCCATTGTGCCCTTGGTCGACCAGGACAGGAGGAAAGTATGTCACTGACGGGTTCATGCAGGTACGACCCCAACTCCCGATTGGGATCAAAGTGTCACCACTTTTGCCGATTGGCCGCCAAGGTGCCATGTGCGGCACTGTATAGACACTGTAATCTTCGCATGCGCATTATGTTCGATGGCGAAAATATGGCAGCGTCAGGTGATGGAGGCTCAGCGACGACGCATCTGCTCTCCATCACCGTGTAGGGGGGCCGTGGCCAGCTTTCTTTTACATGTCACCCGCGCACCTCGTACCAGTGGAGAACACACGGCCGCCGTCGCAGAGACCACCTGTAGGAGAGCGGGACCCAACAAGCGTGTCCCTGCCGCCAGAATAGACACGACAGACACCTGGGGGCCAGAGCGATGCGACCACAGGCCTGACGATATTGATTCTGCCTTCGGGGTAGCGGGTATCGGTGCTAGGCAAGTCAGGTAGGCAACAGACAGCACAGCACAGCACAGCACAGCACAGCGCAGCACACATGGCCAGGCGCCCGCTCCATCCCTGTGCTTCGGCCCCGCCCTAGCCCGAGTCAAGGAGACTGACGGCAGTGCCGGTGCGGTGACGGCGGTCCGCTCTGGCCCTGTCCAAGATTGCCTGCCTGCCGCCCGTCAATATAGGGAGAGACTCGAGCGCGATCACGAGCTCTGGTCTGCGTACCCTGCCAACGAGCCGTCCCCTCCCCTCCTCTCCTCCGATACAACCCCATCCGAGCACTGCAACGATGAGCGGAGTGCGCCAAATCATCTCTCGTCAAAGCCCATCTTGGAAAGTGTGTTTTTTGCACCCCTAGCAGATTATCATGGCCAACATCCCTGAACGAGGGAGGGGATGTCCACTCCACCCTCCCCAAGCCGCTGGCTGAAGTGACGTGTGTCGAGGCGGCGAGGGCGTTCGTCACTCACCTGCGGCGGGGCATAAACGACGGAACGGGAGGCCGGGGGGGTGAGGGAGAGGTTGACTGTCATGCCACTCTCTGGCTTTTCGTGGCTTTTCGCTTGCTAGGCACCCCGCAAACAGGGAATAATGTCATGTCGAGGGGGGAGGGGCCTCGGGATTCGGTGGCAGTGAACAACATGTAAGCTTCGGACTCGCGTATAACTGATTCTTCATCGCCCGAACACGGCGGGACAGATAGATGACGGCACACTGGGTCCCGACTGCGTCTTGGCGCCGACCGCAGCCGTCATTCACAGCCGTCCACGAGGCACGCACGCGAGCGCCAGTGAGGACGATAGAAGAAAGTGGTCCAGGGAGGAGAACAGAGGCGGAGAGGGGAATGGACAGGTGCACGGATCACGCTGCATGTCTAAGCCTCCCAGGCCCTTTCGATGCCAAGACAACGCCACACTTGGTGCCACGAAGAGAATCTTCCAGCCACATTTATGTAATCAGCCACCACAGAGACCGTGGAGGAAACCTTGGCATTGTTCAACCTGTCGCCACGTTCCAAAGGGTGGGCAGCAAAAGCCTTGGCGTTACAACGCCTGTTCGCATGGTTTCCGTTTGCATGTGGTGCCTATTCCCATCCGCCCCCGACATGGCCCAATACTTCCCCCCCTTCTCTTACCAACACTGGGGTTTTTTTTTCTGGAAAGTGAATTTGAATATTGGAATTTCTCGGATCGCTGCGGCCGTCGCGAGAGGGGTTCAGTTCCTCTAGAAGGCACTTTTGCATTGCGCCCCCCCCCCCTTCCCCTCCCGCCTTCTCCAGCTGCGCCGATCCTCCCGTCTTACTCGGACACGGTGGTTTGCTCCAGATACGAACGGGTAGCCTGCTGCTGCTGCCTTTTTCTGTTCTCGGCCGCCGTTGCTGCCTTTTGAGCTGGCGAAGTGGATTTGGAAATGTTGAATCATCGTCATCATCATCAGGCCAAGATTGCGCTTCGGAGGCTTTTTGCCCCCCCGCCCTCCTGCCTGGGATCAAATTTGAGTCATACTGTGCCATGTGCGCTGCTAGGCACGAGGGCCTCGTTGCAACCTCAGGATAGCGAACGCATCCTATTCCATGTTGGAGTAGGAGGGAGGACACGCCTGCAAGCGTCGACGGGCGGACGTAGTGATCTCTCGCATTCAAGTAGGTTCAAAAGTCTGATGGCACACTACTGCCACGGACGCCAGCGACGTGATGAGGTGAGATGGCCGCGAAGCCTGGCCAGAGGCCCCAACGTCGCACCACCTCGCACCTCGCATCACCAACCCCAACCCCCCGAACCCAAAGTCGCATGCATGTCCCCCACGTGATACTATACATCATCAGACCTTCCGGCCTGCCTCACACCGTGTCACCGCGCCCCCCTTCGCCCCAGCCAGGTTGCAAGACAAGACCCGTCATCACGTTCGAGCAAATCACAGCGGAGAAGCGACAGTGATTGAAAGGGTTTCAGTGGCCTCAGGCCTGGTATATTCCGCGTCCCCCGAGGTCCCTCAGACCAGGGACGGCAATGCTATAGTACTCCCCACCCCTTGACCTGTCAGGACGATTCCGTAGAAGCCTGTGCAAGAGAAACACAACAACTGGGAGCGATGACAAAAAAAAATGTACCTTCCCGTATGACCCCAACTCCAGTTGGTGTATGCAGATGCCTCCATTACCCGCCAAGTATTAACAAAGGAAAAAGTAAAAGACCAAAGGCAGTATTCTTCTGCCGCGCCCAAACAATCTCGTCTAGGTGTAATTTGGTATTGAACAGAAAGAAAAGAAAAAAAAAGAGGGCACCAACACCTTCGCTTTTTTTAAATGCCGGTGTGAGTGCTGGTGTATACTGCGCGCCAAGGAGAAAAGAAAAATGTGATGTAGTGCTTTGGGGCAGAGTCCAATCACCTGACGGTCACGGCTCCAAAGAACATCCTCTCGAGCATGCTCCTGCCCGTGCGCGCCCTCTTCGCCTTGCTGGCGGCCGCGTACGCCTCCTCCTCGGATGCGACCTCGTAAGGCAGCAGCGCAGCGGCAAGCTTACGCTTCGGCATGGCGAGCTTCTCCTCGACGTGGATCTCAACGGGCGACTCGTACATGCTGCCGTCGGGGACGTACATGTACGGCTCGTTGTCGGCATAGGCGTCGGGTGGAGTCGTGGCGCGCGAGGAGCGGGAGCGAATGCTGGCGCTGTCGACAGAGCGGGCGTACGAGGACATGCTGCCGGAGCTGCTCGAGGACCCGTAACTTGTGCTGTAGACCAGGGGTGGAGGTGTGATGGAGGCGACACCGTTGCTGTGTTGGCGAGAGTGGTATTGCTCCTCGGGGGAGTACTGGCGGGAGCGAGAGGTATCGCGGGAAGAAGGGGGCGAAGGGTATGCGGCCTGGAGGTAAAGCTCATCCTGCTGGGCGCGGCGGAGGCGACGCTGTTCCTCCTCGCGCTGCTTGCGGCGGACCATGCGAGCGGCGTGCTTGGCTTCGATCTGGTCACGGATGGGGGCCAGGAAGGGGTCGAATTCGCGGTACAGGTCCTCGGACTCGATGCGCAGGTTCCAGTCGAGGAGAAGCAATAGTTGCCTCTCCATGAGGTTGACCTCGGATCGGGAGAAGCCAAATGTCGAGTAGTCGGTATCGGCGTTGCTGTAGGCGGCCCAGTGCTTGTTCTTGGGGGAGGAGTCGTTGAGGTACTTGGCGGAGAGAATCAGCGAGGCGAGGAAGATGCGGTGAGTGGTGCATCGCAGGCCGCGGGCCATTGGCTGAAGCTTGGACTTGAGACGGCCAAGGTAGACGAGGGTTGACATGAGTGTGGGAACCTGGACGTTGGAGGAGACAACGAGCTGGGTGATGAAGGCCTCTAGTGTGGGAAGATCGGCGTCTTCTGAGCGCACGCATCGCGGCTCTGTCCTGGAAGGCGTCGGGGGGAGCTGGTGGTTCTTCTGTGCCTCCGCAGCGCCGGGAGGCATAAGGTGCGAGTCGCATGCGATGACGTTGAAGGCAGCACCGGCCAGGTAGGCGATCATTTGCTTGGTGACTGGTTGATAGACGAAGTGGTCGAGGGCGGCGGCATTGAGATCAGCCATGGTGAGCTGTTGTGTTGAGTCCATCGTGGCTGGTTGTGTGGTGGTGGGGGAGAGGAGGAGGGGTGACGGTGTGGTGGTGATGTTAAGGTCGTATAAGTAAGAAAGGTCTTCAATGAAGAAGATGCCTTGTGCCGAAGCGGTGGGGGCGTAGAGTTGGAGATTTCGTTGGAGGAAGTGACGGAATCAAAAAAAGAGGCGACAAGGGAGAGGAAGGGAGCAGGCAACTGATATATCAGGGTGGTGGTCGCAAGGGCAAGTGACCAAGCGGGAAGGGGGGGTGTGCTTTCCAGGGGACTGACTTGTCAGGGGTGGTGGGATCGACTTTCGTCAGTGGGTGATGCAGTCCACGAGGCTGAGCGGTGCGCCCCAGACTTGTCAGGGGACGAGCTAGCAAAAGACGCTAGACAGGGGGTTCAGATGGACGCAGGGGGGGCTTGGGGGTTCAGTCCAAGTGGGTACGGTGCCGTGCCAAGAGAAGAGCCTGTTGGGGCTGGAATGCTGCCGATCGCAGAGGGGCGTGGCGCTGTGCGGGCTGGCCGACCGGGGTAAGACGAGTCCGTCGAGTCTGGGTCTCTACACTACCACCAAGGCGGTCGCGTCAAGAGTCGAGGCACGAGCAGACAAAGAGGCCAAGGCAGCTGTCCGAAACTTTGGGCTTCAGTGAGCGGAGCGAGCAGAAGCAGAAAGCAGAAGCGAGCTGACGGAAAGGTGACGATGCGAATGACGATGCGACTGCGGCAAGGTAGGCAGAGGGCAAAGCGTGCGGGTCGACCGAAAGACTGCGGCCGTGGCTGTACTGGTTCTGGGAGAAACCGAGGATCCCGGTCCGGTACTTACGTACAGCACAAAGTAAGGTTGAGCTGATGGAAGAAGCAAGCTGGTACGAGGCCAACAATTGGTAGCTGAGAACGGGGCGTTTGCCTGGTTCAGGATGGACAATAGGAATGAAGGAGAAAGCCCGGTTCGTTCGGACGTGGTTTTTCGTCGTTTGCACGACGTGCGTAGATGGCGTTGCGAAACTCGGAGCGATGAAGCAAGCTGGCTATTCGGTGACAAAGCCGGCAGTGAATTGACTGGTTGACCCGAGTAAGGACGGCAGGATCGCTGTGTCGGCGGGAGGCCAAACGAGTCAGGACTTGACGGAACGTCTTTGGCCGGAGCAGCGTCGTTTTCTAGCTTGGGAGGAGGGGTTGCGTTTGATGGCTGCTTTGATTGCAGACAGCAGGAGCCGATGGTCCAGGCCGTTCAATATGCCGAGTGCGGTGCGGAGCGGTGCAGACGAAGCGGAGCAGGTGGTTTACGAAAATGCGCAGTCAGCCGAAAACGTGTGATCTGGTGACCGTGTGCAGGAAGCAATGGAGAGCTCTTGTTGTGGAATAGCGGAGGGATTGAGAAAAAAGGTATCCGCTCCTTTTTGATGCCTTTTTGATTGTGGTCTTTTTTTAATTGATGGCCGGAGACCAAAAGTTAGTTATTAGATTAGGCGG